GACAAAACAGGTGTAGTGTTTTACCACAATAATGTCAAATTTCACACAAGTTTGATAACTCGTCAGAAACTGTTATAACTTATTGATAGATGGAACCTGCTATCACACCAACCATATTTGCCAGATCGAGCACATTTGGATTATTACTTGTTCCAGTCTATATAAATTTTTTTTAACTGTAAGACATTTACTTGAAATGACAATGTCAAAAATCACTTGGATCAGTTTTTTGTAAGCAACGATCAAAACTTTTATGAATGTGAAATCATGCTACTACCAGAAACGATGACAACAGGTATTTGATCAAAATGGTCAATATAAAATTCAATAAAATATTTATTTATTATAAAAATATTGTGTTTTTTCCCACAGAAAAATGACAATTTCTGAACAACCCAATATGATATATCATCTTATTCAATAATAGTATGAATAAAATTAAATTGTAAATTTATTTATAAAAAAAACTTATATTATTCAAAACACAGAATGAGATCATTAACCAAATATAAACTATAACATCTTTGATATTTATATAATTGATGGTTGAATAATTAGAGCTAATATGTCAGTCTACTGCTTTGAAAAACAGGAACTGAATCCTGGTGAGCAACCCCATGAATTTTTTGTGAGTGATATATCTATCCTGGATAGTCAGGCCCTGTCTGTCCTTACTGTAAAATATACTGAATTCATAATGATCATAGGAAAAAACCTTCTGTGCCCACAGAGCAGAAAGAGTCAAAAATAAAAATAAAAAATAAAGAGATATTAAGGTATATATATATATTATGTTTAGTTAATGAAACTTTTGCTTATTGAAAATAGTTTAAACTATATACAAACCAAATTCAAAACATACAGTTAAAATACTGTATTTTTTTCCTTATAAGAAGCACCTAAAATTTATCTGAAAATTCAGATGCACCCTATAAACCAAATGTGTATTATACTGTGAATATTTCCTCCCCCAAAAAATTAACATGAAAAATGTGCTGTATCAAATATAACATCACATAAGACAAAAAAATGTAATGATATTTAATAACTATAATTATAAAAACAAACAAATTATGTTTTATAAATAAAATGTAATATTTATTACATACCTGTAATAATAACTTTTCCATCACCTTGTTTTAACAGATTAAAAACACTTTTCTCACTATTCGCACAGTCGATGCATGCTTGTACTGCCTCTCTTAATACACGGTTCATGGATCCAGGTCCAAACTGAATCGGTAACTGGGATACTTTACGAGAATTCAAATAAGGACCACATGTGCAACCATGATTTACAAACACACAAACTATAAAATAACAAATTTAATTATTTTTTTACATAAAAAATTTATATTAAAAATTGAACATTTATTTTAATTAACCATCAAATAGATATATATTTAAATTAAAAAATAAAAATTAATTATACATGGCAAAGACTTTGTATTGAATTTTGAAACATATTTTAGTTCATCTTCAGTAGAAAATATTGCAAAGTCTTCATATTGTTAATAAAATAACAATTTTTAATTGTTATTTTACAATAATTAGAGGATGTCTACCAATGGGCAAAACTGATATATATTTTCAGTATGTTTTAGAAAAAATTTGGATATTATTGGAACTGATTCACAAATTCTCATAGTAAAACTTTATGCTTAAGAAGCTTTGTGGGTTAGCAACACAAATACTTAATGCTGTCATGCTAGCAAATACAGTCTTATTTGAGAAAAGTTTGAATGTACTGTACATCAGGTTCTTGCAATAAAGCAGAGGCCCTCCAGTTAGTTACTTTCAATAATTATTTTCACTTAAATAACCAATTCTACCTTTCAGAAGCAAAGGTGTCCCAAAGGGGCACCATTCTCTGCCACTTTAGCAGAAATTGTAATGAAGAAATTGAGCACAGGATATTCTTTGTTGTACTCAGCATCCACTGTCCCTTGATGTATTTTATGTTATGTCAAAGACATACCTTTACCTTGAGATTAGAAACCTTTCTTGACAAACAATATTCTGCTTTTTCTTGGATCAAAATTTCACTTTGAAGAAATCAATTAACCCTTTATTGCATGAATTTTTTCAGGCTATTGAAAAAATTCTAAACTTGCTTTTGTACACATATGAATGCTAAATTCACTAAATTTTAACGAAACTTTAAAATTCCCTCTAGAGTTCTCCTTTAAATGTTGCCTGGAAGCAAATTTATGCAATAATGTATTTGACTATAAGAATAAACATGAACACATTTCCAAAACATTATTGCATATTTTTGAGTATTATGTGTAACTTTACAATGTTTTTTACATATTTAATTTATAAATTTTAGTAGTCTTACTAGTTGTTATGGAACTTGTAAAAGCAGTTATTTGAAAGAGTAAAACACAAATAACATTTGCATTTTCCACACAACATTTTTGGAGTACCTTTGCAGCCTGGATTTTTACATCTACCTTTTTTACTGTTAAAATTTGGCCAAAAGCTTACTTAGTCTCTTCAGATACCTGTACTGGAAATAAGGAGAGTTGCATGACCACCTTTTTTTTTTTTTGCTTTGTACTCATCATCAGTGAAAATGGCATTAGAATTACTGGAATATTTACATTTTTGCAATACTTCTGCTTTTTTCTTTTTGCATAAGCACAGTCGAGCCTTGGGTATTCAAAGCTGTTGGCTTTGAATACCCAAGGCTTGACTAATCTTTTTTTTATATCTCCAAAGAATCACAATTGTGTCTGTAGAGTAACAAAGTCTGAACAACAGCAATATCAATAAAATGAAAAAGCAATCTATGGCGCTTTTTTGATCAAATGATAATTCAATAGTACCAATAATTCATCCAACAAGTCACCCATGAATTTATTATACAGCAGTATGACAGAGGGACATTCAACTTCAATATATTCTTTGTTAGATCTAGCAAGTAACAGTACAGTAGAATAAGCCCCTGAGAATGTACTTAGAAGGGCAACAGCTCTCTTATCATGCAACTTTACTGCATACAATTTTGATTATTCACTTTGGCTATTTTTTCCTAAAGTGTTCCCCTTCCCTCTTTTTTCATCTCTTTATCAGAAAGCATTTTACAGCCTGTAAGTCTGTTAGGTCTTACAGTATCTGAATAGTAAATGCCAATTTCTGCCATATGTAACAGCAAGTCAATTCCATTAAACCAGTTATCAAAATACAGCTTGTGATTTAGATTTCTTGGAATTACCTGGACTAATCTGATCACAATATTTCTGCAGACTTCTACACCTCATATACTTTGAAATTGTAAACTAGACTGCACACATCTGAGACAACAAAAAGTTTGTAACACCTTTTTTTTTTTTTGGAATTATATTGCTTCAGATTACTTCTTCCCATGAAAGGTACTATCTGATTATCGACAGACATTTTTTCATCTTTTGGCAACTCTGCAAATTTCGAGCATAACTTTGTTATAATGGGTTTAAGTTTTTACAGATTGTCAAAATCAGGTGACTTACTCATTGATTGTTTAGTATTATCACTAAGGTGTAAATTGCTCTTAATTGCCTACCATCTGTTTAGTCCCATAACATCAGCCACCTGCAAGATGCATGAACTTGAAGCCCAAAACATTTTTGTTTGGGGTAATTTAAAAATGGACATATACATTGCAATTCTGATAAATTGCTCTTTGCAGACAGCTACAGGTTTTTTAGGATTAGTTTGAACTAAATACAATATAGTTTGTTAAACTATTGTGTTCAAAAGATCACCATTGAACATTAACTGGAAATATTCAAATGGACTTTTTACTGATTTCACTTGAGGCAAAATTCCCTTCCAGTGTGGTTGACTATAGACAATTTTACTTTTTCTAGCATTTCAAGTGAAGGTTTTTGTTTTCCTTTTATCCTTGGGAGCAGAAGCACTGGATCTAGATGGCCCATTAAACCTCTAATCAGTATCTTCCACATCACTCTAAAAATACACAATTGATTGATTTGTAGCATTTGTTACTCAGTTATAATAACTACATGTAATAAAATTAGCCACTTCACATTTTTTAAAATTTACCATTTCAAATTTCTCTCTCTAAATCAGAATTCACTAGAACCTGTCAAAGAGCAGGCTGACAGGCTGACTAATTTTTGCAAAAATAAAGTCCTCATTGTCCAATTCACTGTCTTCAGAAACATCACCAGTAGGTACTCTAACAGTAACCTGAAAACCTCTATTTTGTATTTTGTATAACCGGTCACAACCATTCTTTTGTTACATGATGTTGCTCTGAAGCAATGTTTAATTATAATGCAAATATTTTTAATATATCCTTATTTACAACGTAAAAACTAAAAATTATATTAAATAATGACGAATACAAAGTAAAAGAAAATTTAATCCAGATAACTTGAAAATGTGTTTAAAAAATCTAAATTTCACATGTGTGTCTTCACTAATAATGAAAAGTGAGAATGAGTATACAGTAGAGCATCGATTATCCGACCCCCGATTAACCGTCACATCGGTTAACCGACAGCTCTAGTCGGCAAATTTCAAATGTCCGCTAGTGATGTGGCACTACAATATTTGGCTATGTCTTGGCTACTTTAATATTATTTTTGTAAAATTTCTGCGTGTTTTAGCTGGCAACACTAGCTCGACCATTGAAGGGAGGCCAGTATTTAAACGATATATACAAACATCTCCAACCCGATATATAATTATAGCTACAACCAACAGACTGCCGAAAATCTATCGGGCTAGTTTTATGCTACTTATTAAATAAATTACGTAATCAATTTGGTACTAGAGGTAAGCGTTAGGCGCCATCTCTTATTAATATTAATAATTATAAATAATTTTAATTAATTTAAATAATTTGGAACCGCTGGGAGAAAAAATCGGCCCGGAGCGGGACTCGAACCCACAACTCCTGCTTACCGTGCAGATGCGTTGCCAGTTACGCTACCCGGACCTCCGATCCGATCTCCTCTTCCAGCGTATATAATCTAACTACTTAACCATCGACGGTTATTACAACGCCGGCTGGGGACACATTCAGTGCCCACGTCCTACTTCCCATACGGCTCTCAACCGGCCATCGCAAGCCCCGGCAAGGCGTAATATATATACAAACATCTCCAACCCGATATATAATTATAGCTACAACCAACAGACTGCCGAAAATCTATCGGGCTAGTTTTATGCTACTTATTAGATAAATTACGTAATCAATTTGGTACTAGAGGTAAGCGTTAGGCGCCATCTCTTATTAATATTAATAATTATAAATAATTTTAATTAAT